GTGATGGAGACTTTGAATCCAGGCCTCAGCAGTAGCCCTTCAACCACTAGATTTTTCAGGGAAGAAGCCCAGGAGTAAAGTCAGGTGTCAGGGTGCCAAAGACGCATGATTCTTCCAAGGTTGTTACATCAGAAGAATGGCTTATTCTGATTCATTCCTGAGTAATTTGTTCAACGTGGGGGCAGACAGTGCACCCGTTTTCAGAAGTCTCAGCTGACTGAGGAGCATCCCTTACCCTTACCCTACCATCTGCCGTCCTAATCACCCCAGGAATTCCTCTATCAGAGCCACCACATGCCTTGAAATTCATTCAACAAACATCTATGGTAGGCCCTGTTTCAGGCACTGAAGCAGAAATAGACTAAAATCTCCCTGCTCTAGTAGAACCCACTTTTGGTGATGGAAAACAGACCATAAATGGATGAATAAATTCTTACAATAGGATATTATGTAGCTGTAAAAAGGAATCAGGAGGAGATACATAGCTTGCTATGGAGTGATTTCCTGGATGTATTTTTTGTCTGGTAAAATTCTGGATTTGGCAGATTGCTTTCCTCAGTTGTCACTTACCCTGTTTCTGTAGGTCCCATGTTTCCGATAAACTAGTGAGATGTAGAGGTTAGATTGAATTCTTGGTTTTGTGGGGTCTTTTTGTTTTGACAAAAATGCCTTGTCAACAGTGCTATGTACTTATTATTGTATTACATCATAGTGTCAGGTATGCTTCATTTGTACTTACAGTTTTATAATGAAACTAAAGAAGGACAATGAAAGGCTAATAAAAATGATTACCTATAGTGGAGTGAGGAAACAGGGATATAAATTAGACTTCTCTGAGTGTATCTTGTTGAAACTGTCTTTACATCATTTAGAAAGAGCATTCCAGTACAAGGGAATAGCATGTGCAAATGATCTGAGGTAGGAATATGCCTGGTTCATTCAAAAAAGAGCAAGAAGATTAGTGAGTAATTTCTGGCTTACTTGTTTCCCTCCCCTGATAGATTACTGAAGACAGGGCCAGTGGCTTTCATCTTTACAGACTCAGCTTTCATATAGTACTTGGCACATCCTCTGTTTGATACATTTGTAGAATAAATGAGTAAAAGTTTGAATCTAATCACTCAGTGTCCTGGACAAGGGGGAGAAAAAAGAGTAAGGCATGTCTTAGAGGCTCCTTGCCATGAAATAAAAAATTCGTAATTTTCATCAGTTCTCTGATGAATCAGAAGAAGATCAGAAAGTGTCTAAAACAGCAAAAGTGAGGCAAAATAAAAATAGCAGCATGCTATTAAAGATTTTCAATGTGCACAGAAACCCACAAACCCCACTGTTCCTTGGAAACTAACACTTTTCAGAGCCATCTTTCTTTTCATTAAGTATACCTGCATTTTACTATTACAACTAGCTAAAGGCAACAACTTAGTAAAAACAAAACATAAAAATCTACCTTACAAATAAATAAGAAAAATAATTAAAAATCTAAAAATAAGTAAAATTAAAATCATATATATAATAAATCAAGTTTTTAATGAATAAATCATTAAAACCATTAATAATTCAAATACATACATAAACATATTTATTTCCTAAGTGAGAATAAAGATCTCAGTTCTCTGCTCTTTATTTCTCTCCACCCGTGTGTGCATATATGTGCGTCATCCCTACATGTCTGCCTCATGTACAGGGACCAAGAAATGCTGAGTGAGGTGGAACCCAGGAGTCACTGCTCCCTCTGTTTATCTCTGCCTGTGTTCAGGCACCCAACTTAATGCATAGAATATGTACAGAATAAGGGAAAGGGAACATTTTTTTTGACCTCTGAGGTGTTGGAGATGCAGTTTCTGGATATAGGAAACTGGCTAAAGAAAGATGAAGAAAGATTCCTTTTTCCACTGGGATCTAAGCTTAAGTGTGGCCAAGATGTCAGGGCTTCAGTGGGTGAGGAGGGCATCTAGGCAAGTTTCAGGGCAGTGATGGTCACAGATATTGGTTACATACTGGGTTATTGATCAGATAAGTTAATATATTAAGGACAGTGAGAATCAGGTTTATCCTTGTTGGAGAATGGAGTCACAAACATGGAAATGAAGAAAATTAGAATGAACCCTGCGGTGTTGAACTGGAGTTGGAGGTATCTGTATGAACTCATTTCCAATACAGATAGAGAAATAAAGACATCTATATGTGTCTGTTTCTACCTGCCTAAGCTCTGTGCATTGAGAGGAACTGGAAAAACAACATGCCAATGTCAACGAGCATACTTAGGGCCCACATCCTGGCTTTCATGATTTTGAACTTTACCTGATCTCTGTGCTCCTGAGAACAGTTACTATTTTCTCAGCGGACGAGGGTGGGAATCCCCTGACACTTTTGTGTTACAGGAAATGGTTTATTGTAAGGAGCCATCCTTTCCCATGTGACTTAGATGAGAGTTGTTGATGACTCCCTTGTTTACTATGACAAGGTCTGACAGAGTCTCTCCAAATTCCCTTTTCTAAGAAGCATAAATGATTAGCTCAACTTTTTGTTTCGCATCACCAACTGGACAAAATACCCACTAAGATGACTTGACCAAACTTCAGTGAGGCTTCTCGCCTCTCCACAGACCCCTGGGCTTGGAACTACCACTGGGCAAGTCCTGGAACACAGAACCATTCCTCCTTAGAGGACCTCTGAGAAGAGGCAGACCTCAGGGAAAAACATTCCCTCACCAACTGTGTGTCATGCCACCAGCTCACTCCAGTTCCCGAAACCCAGTTCTTTCTGGCTTTTCCTTCTTCTAATAGAAAAGCCCTTGCTGCCTGACCTTTGAGTCTCTTACAGATTGAAGATTTGGTATGTCCTCCCTGTTTGCTATTGTCCCTTCCCTATATTGCAAAAGTCTTTTTGAATAACGTCTTTCCTTATCTAAATCTGTAATTGTTTTTACTTGACATTTCAAACTAAAACAAGTCAGGAATTCTTGGAAAAAGGGCTAATTCCAAAGCTTAGGCAGAGAAAATACAAGATGAGTTTAGACCATCTTCTTGCATTGGCAAATAAGGAAATGCTCAAGGAATATGGTAGTATAAAGAAAGGAAACAGAAACCAGCTTGAAGAGGCTCTCACTGGCCAAACTTGGGACAATTTGAGCATCAAAGTAAACATTGATACTAATGTATTATTAATGCTCTGAATAACAATATAAATATACTGAATAAAGATAGAAATCATGAGTCCATACTGATATAAAAAATGAGTAATTTTAAAGTTTAGTGAGGAATTTGCATAGTCTCGAAGTACTACCTCACAAAATACTTAATTACAAAGGGAAAAGGAGTAACTCAACAGTGGAGAAGTTTGGCAGACACCCCTTTATTTAAGTGATCAGAGTTAACATCACTGGTGATGGACAAAAGGGAAATTGTGTTACTTGATAGGATGCAAGAACACACTCACACTTTTGTAATAGTTCTGCTCAAGATGCCTAACCTGAGTTTAAGCACAAAGAAACCTAGACAAACTCAAGTGAGTGTCATTGCATAACGTAACTATCCCGAAATCTTCACCATTTTTCTGTAGTTAGTTGTGGCCATGTGATCTACTTCTGATTCATAAGATATAAATGTTAGAAACTGGACTACGCTTTAGGAAATGTCAGCATTTTTCTAATAAAAATGAAGTAGGCTTAGCTGGCATATACCTTTTGCCCTTTGTTCTTCCCTCTTATGTCTTAATAGATGCCATAGTGTTGAAGAATGCAATGCATTCCTTGTAGGACCATGAAGGCTTAAGTCACACACGAAGTGTTACAAAGCAAAAAAGGAGAAACTACCTGTTTCCTTCAGCAACTGCATCAAAACCCAAACAACTCTCTTCAGCCTCCTTTTTACATTACCCCTTATTTGTTTAAAACATGGACTTCTGTTTGATGTGGTCAAATGTAAACTAGTCAAAACAACTTGCTTTCCCTTATTTTTCTGTATCAACCTGTCTAGTTCTTTTCCGATTCCAACATTTCCTTTTGTCAGCAATTTTATTGGTACTGCACTATAATTACAAATTAATTATGGACAATTGATTTCTTCATGTTGTTGAGCTTTTTCAAGCACATGGTATCTCTTTCCATTTGTTCTAGGCTTCTTTGTGCCTTGAGTAGGGTTTTAAAATTTTTGTCACACAATTTTGCATGCTTTTGCTATAATTGCCATATTTGCCTCATAATTGATGCATCAAGGGGTACTACGGTGTTTTTCTGAATCCCAAGAGAATCTGAAAAGACTTCAATGTTATTTGAGTTAATTATGACAAAAACCAGTCAAGGTATTTAGTGGATTAAATGTTTCAAAATCAATTCATAATTTAAAGTTCACTTTTCTGTAACAAAAATACAAGAAGCATATTCCATTCTATTTTATATATCAAACAAGTACATTTACATCCTCAAGGTTATGATTTTCATAGATTGATAGTTAAAAGAAGAAATTCCTACTAAAGCTTCTTGCAGTCACAAATTCAGTTTTATAAAACCTGAAAAAAAAGCATATTCACCTCAATGTGGCTTATGTTACCTATTGTTACTGCCTTTAAGGTTATCTAGTTTATAATTATTCCCCAGCCTTTTTTATCTTTATAAATATAAGCTCAGTGTTTTGTATTCTCAAAGCTCTTTATCAATACTTCAGAATGTCTTACTTTTCATGGAACTAAAGTTTTATGTTTGGCAGATACAGACATAAAATAACAAAAAAAAGCCCCACACAAATAAAGACGTAGTTGCACACTGTAATGAAAAATGCTTGGAGTGTAAGTATGAGCAAATAACAGGTCAGAGAAAAAATGTGAATTATGAAGAACAATGCAAAATTCACAATACTTTTTCACATTCTAAATAAATAAAATCCACCAGAGCAAAATATCAAGTATTCACAGCAATTCTGCCCCTCCTGCTACTTTCCAGGCCTCCCTTCAGCCCACTTCTACAGCACAGGGGAATTCTTTGGCGAGGGGCACTGCGGTGGAAAACTTGAAGATGCACGGAGTTAACCTCTACAAGCTTCTAATTTACGCAGATGATTTTAACAGGAAATGACGAAAAGGCCATTAGTATTGCGCAAATAACGTCACGAAAGCACGGTGACATTAATCCTGATCAGGGAGAGTCCAATATTCGGAGGGGTGCAATTTCTCAATTTAGTCTTCACTTCTCTAAATCGTGCAGTATGCGCCGGATCCGTAAAACACGACTCAGATCTGCGCATGCCCCCTGCACATCCCCCTAGTCGGAAGTCCTGGTTTGTTTATTAAATTACGACAGTCGTAAACTGAGCCTTCGTGACGACGTCCTAGCCTTACGACGACAACAACTATGGCGGCTGCCAGTGGTCAATTTGAAAGTGCGAGGAGTGTTGAAGAGCGTAAAGAACAGACCCGGATTGCCAGGGCCGAGGTGTTGCGCCAGGTACCTCCGTTTTGGGGTTTTGCAGCCACTTAGAAGTGTGGGAATGGAGGGTTCCTGGGAACAAGCCTGACTCTCCTCCTTACCCCTTTACCGCGGTGTCTCACCTTGTGGGGATGGAGTCTTGCTTTGGAATACTCGCAGACTCTTTGGTATTCTCCTCCTCCCAGATGCTTTGGGAGATTCCAGTTGCTTATTCTTTTTAGGAAGACCTGTTTCTTTCCACTGAGCTTCTTTTCCTTTTACATCGTCCATTCTTGGTCGATAAAATTGGTCGATATCGTCCAGTACCTGGTCATCTGAGTTACGCATTTTTGAGGAACTCCTCCACGAATGATTCGCCCAGCATATACCACAGCCTCTGGGTTCTCTCCTGCTGTATCCGAAATGAAAATTTCCTTTTTCAGGAACACGTGTAAGGCGCATTGGAGTAGATAGACCGTTTCATTTCCTTTACGTGTTGGTATCAATGCTAGGGTTATTGTAAATCCTACCGAGTCAAACGCGTTGACGCAGAGACCAGAAAATTTAGCACCTCGAAAAAGATTGAGAAACATATTTGTCATTAGATTGAGATGCATTGAGGTAATTTATCGAACGGAGGAAGTAAATTATATATGACGTTTGGCAGTGAAGAGGACAAATTGCAGTGCAGCATAGGGTACGAGTGGGGGTTTTTACAAATTTTAAAATTTGGTTTAAGGTGGAATAGTTTTAAATGAATTTAAATGCATATGAAAAGGAACCGGTAGAGAAGACGGGAAGGCGAAATGAGTATAGCCGGATTATAAAGGGGAAAGTAGGCAAATTAGTCTTGGACAGCTGAAAGGTTGGTATTGTTTTCTGATTTCAGCGTATGTAACACATATGTACAATTAATATTATTCATCCTTGTCTCTTTGGTATTTCAGGCAGTTTTTGGAGTGGGGTTTATAAGCTGTGATAAATTTTATAGTAGAGATGTGCCTGGAGTTTGAGAAGGACCAAACCCAGCTTTGGAGTTAAGAGAGAGAATGAAAGGGCAGGAACAACCTCCTTGGAAGAACTTAACTTTATTTGACTCTTGTTGAAGAATTAGTAAAAATTGGCAATATGATTATTTGTTTTTTAGAAATATGGTTCCTCCTGAAGCATTTTGGGGGCATGGGTAGAAGGGTGTAGGCATTGCAGATTGATGGCATGGAGGTCAATCTCCTCTAACAGTTACAGAAGTCTCAGGCAATTGAAGTAGTATTCGTCATATTTAAAGTAAAAGAGATTCAAGATATTTAAAGTAGGGAGACTAGGGAGGGGGAAGGATAAATAGCTTCCAGGATTCTGTCCTTTATTGGTGATGGCTCAGTTCACTAATGATTGCTAATGTGATTGGTAATATGGAAGTTTTAAATTTTTTTTCATCTTTCCTACACTTCGGTAGAAGCAAATTCCTGGCAAGGAAGAATTGATTCATGAGACCTATATAAAAGTGAGAAATGTTTTTGTTTTACATGGAAAGCATTTGGATCAGTTAATTTTTGTTTCTTCATTGTTTTAGGCTAAAGCCAATTTTGAGAAAGAAGAAAGGCATAAAGAACTTAAACGACTTCGGGGCGAGGACACATGGGTGCTACCTGATGTGAATGAGCGAATTGAGGAATTCGCAGAGGTGAATCCTAATAGGTTTACTTGATATAACATATTTTTTGCACTTAAGTTAATATTGGAAGAGCACCTTTATAGACTATTTTCAAAAGTTACAGAATAAATATCACGTGTTTGACATTTCTGAGTAGTTTTATTTCTGTGGCAGAAATAATCTATTTTAATATTTTGTATATTATGACATTGGACATATTTTGTTATTTGAGCTGGCGAGTAGAAAACAGAAAGCTTAGCTTCAAATTTCTGGCTCATTTGTAGCAATCTTATGGATCTAAAAGATCAGGTATTTTAAGCTTAATGTCATTTCTTTTTTTCCTCAATCCTTGTTTTCTCATCCTCAATTTTAATTTATGCTATCTTGTTACATTTCATATGGCCTAGTAGTCTTATACAATAGTTCTTTTGGGGTCATAGGATAATATGTCTATGTATGCACACATATGTTTTTAAATATGTGTGCATGTTTATTTGATTATATTTTCCAGATGAATCTATAAATGATAAAGATATCTCAGCTATATGGTTTATTAGAAGTGCATATATTAAAAGCATGTTAAAGTTTCTTTGAAGATTTTATTTCGTCATATTCCCTCTCATGTGAAATACTTAGTTTTTTGGAACATAGATCTTTCTTCCTCAAAATATTGCCTTTTAAAGTGAGAGAAAACCAAATTCCTTTCTTACCTCTTCAAAATGGTTATTTCTAGGAACACTCTGTGAAGAAAAAGAAGAAAAAAGACAAGCATTCAAAAAAAGTGAAGAAAGAGAAGAAAAAAAAGAGTAAGAAACAGAAGTATGAAAAAAACATTGAGTCAACTGATAGTTCATCAGTAAGTGTGTGCTGAAACTAACCAAAGCAGCTGCTTCAGAAAATTGTATTTAAAGGAATAATGTAGTAAAATAAGTGAAAACTTAAAAAATACTGCTAAGTTAGAGTATGAAAATGCCTGGGAGACATCTTCTTAGAAATGTCCAGGGAATAGTAGAAATAGGATGTTAGTTCACAGAGAAAGGTAAGAAGATGCTGATACGATCTGGCAATCATTGCTTATTGAAGCCATTAGAATGGCTGAATTGCCCAGGGAAACTGCAAAGAAAACATCAACACAGGAGCCAGACGGGAAGTAAAGGACATTAAGTAGAAGTATTTGGAAAATTAGGAGACATAGGAAAGAGCAGTACTGTAAAAATAAGGTAAAAGAGTTCCAAGACATTAGAAAGTCTGTTAATCTTGTTTGTATTTTCATAGAAATTAACATTTAAGTGTTTAAAATAGGCCGTGTTAATATCTTTATCTTTGGTGCCAAAAGGAAGAGAATGCCAGGTCTGCTGTGTTTCTAGCCAGTGGTGGGATGAGAGGGCTCACAGAGGAAAGGAAAGCAGGTTGAACATTTCACATTTATTTTTCAGGAAGAAAGAGGTATATTGAGCTTAGAGAGTGGTGAGCTAGAGATGTTGAGGGATGATTGGTCTCTGAGGTATGATCAGAGGGTCATACTCTCAGCTGAGTCACCGTATTCCAAAGTCTGGCCCTCTTGAGTTTCAGAAACTAAATTTTTGGCTTTATACTTGAGATGATAATTGGCTCATGAAAGCCTGTCTTATATGAGAATGCAGAATATTAATTCATAGTGAGAAATACAATTGGGTAGTTTTGTCAAGTAGCCAGCATATTTTGTAATGATGGGCGTATTTAAATTATACAGAAAAAAATTTTTAACTATAACTTAGGGCAGTGGGAAAGTGAAAAGTGAAAAGAAGACAGAGGCACTGTTCCCACATGGTAGGCTTGGGTTGCTAATCCCATTGAGAATTGGTAAAAATAAGTGATCCTTTCTCCAAAATGAAATTTATACACAAATGTGTTTATTTTAGTGGGATTTGTAAAACTTCCTGGAATTTATGCAGGGATCACAGGAAAAGAATCTCTTTTTGGTGAGGATTGATCTGCCAGGCTGACTATGTAATTTAATAACAGGTACTTGCTTCCCCTTATTAGAGACATACTGTCCTGTTATTTTTCTTTGTTCTTTCCTGGAAATACTTGTGTGTCTTTGTTGCAACAAATACTGTGTATATTTGTATATATGTAATAAGTTGTATGTATGTAATATATGTATATATGTAATATATATGTATAATTAATATACCATAGAGAGAGTAGTTTCAGTGAATGCTCAGTGCCCATACCACATTGAAGTAGAATGAAGATTGAAAGAGAAGTGGTACTGACAGTGAAGGGAAGGAGAGATGGAGAGTTAGAGGAGTCAGGGTAGCTGGGAGGTCTTTTCGAGAAGATGTTTTTAGGGGAAAAGGGATAAATCACATTGAGAAAATAAGTTTGGATTGGCACAGTCTCAGGGGAAGGGAGAAGATTTGCTTAGGAGTAGGAGCACCTTCTCTTCTGAGCTAGGAGGGAGTTGTAAAGATATATACAAAAACAGGTAAATGAGGTTTGGGGAGAGGTTCGCAGATTATTGATGGTCTTTCTGCTTGTCTGTTTTCTTTGTGGGGTAGAAGGTAAAATCATCTAAAAAGATAATTTGGGAATAGACGTAAAGGATTGAGGAAATAGTGTAGATTTGAATCAACCTTGCTTAGGTAATTAAAAAGAAGCAAATGAATGGCTGAGTAGAGTTGAGGATCCATGTGAGATTAGAAAGTATATCTTGACTTTGTCAAGGTCCCTCCTTTTTTTAAACTCAAAAGCATCAACTTTACTGAGGCATAATTTACATATGATAAAATGCTCCTATCTTAAGTGTACTATTTGATGAATATACCTTTTTAGCCCTGTCTATTAAGATAGAGAACATTCCACTTCCCTTAAAGTTCCTCATGACCTTTTACAGTCTTTCCCTCTTCTCCCTCCCCCCTGTCCTATCCTGGGATTGGGCAACCATACATCTGTTAGGACCAGCTTATGGTTAGTTCTCCATGTTCTAGACTTTTATATTGGTTTCAGATTTTTCATATTTCAAATTGATCCATTTAATGTGATCTTTTTTTCTGGCTGGCTTCTGTGCTTCAAAATAATGTTTTTATAACTCTTTCTCATGTTGTTACATGTATCAATACTTCTTTTTATTGCCAAGTATCAGTGTATGAATATGCTACAATTTGCTTATCTGTTTACCTTTTGAAAGTCATTTGGGTTGTTCTTAGTGTGGGTCTATTAATGGATAATGCTACTGTGAACATTTGTGTATGTCTTTTAGTGAACATATTTTTATTTCTCTAGGGAAAATGCCATTGTTTTCCACTTACTCTATATCCTTGCTTGCATTTGATATTGTCAGTCCTTGTACTTTTTAGCCATATTACTCTGTGTGTAGTAATAACTCATGTGGTATTTCCCTGAAGATCAGTGATGTAGAGACGTTTTCTAACTTTGGTTTTTTGTTTATCTTGTTCTATTTTTAGTTAACTTTTGTTTAGGTTGTGTAGTAAGTATAAAAGTTTTGTACTGTATGGATTTCCAATTATGCCAGCATCATTTGTTGAGAAGACTAACCTTTCTCTGTTGAATTACCTAGGCTCCTTTGTTGAAAATCAATTAAATATGCATGTGTGAGTTACTTTCTAGACTCTCCTTTCTGTCTTTTGAGCTAATGTTTCTCCTTGGCCAAAAAACACAGTCTTAATTACTGCCACTTAGAGTAAGCCTTGAAATCAGGTAATATATGTTCTATGATTTTGTTCTTTTTGAAAATTGTTTTGTTCTTTTTGAAAATACTGTTTCTTTGCATTTTTATTTTTTTTACATTAAAAATTTTTTTAGTTGATACACAAGATTATATTGACAGTCATATGCATTACTAAATGCTCACCACAGTAAGTATTCTTTGAATTTTTAAAATAAATTTTAGAATTATTTTAAAATAAAATTTAGTTACTACTTTCAACAAAAATCTTTGCTGATATTTTGATCAGAATTGTTTGACATCAATAGATCAAGTTTGGGAGAATTATTATCTTAAAATAATTATTATCTTAAAAAGCAAGTATCCCAACCCATCATGCATGAGCTATTTTCTCTCTGTCTCTTCAAGTCTTTTTTAATTTCCCTCACAGTGCTCTGGAATTTTCAGTGTAGAAATCATATATATATTATTTTTATTTTCTGTGGGTGCTATTGTAAATGGAGTTTTAAAATATTTCATCTTTTATGTGTTTATAGCTAGTATATACATTTAAAATTGGTTTTTATATACAGTTTTATCCCCCACCTGAAAGTTCATGCTATGCCTCTGCTTTTACAAAAGACCTACATTAGTACCCATTTTTGCTAACTGAAAGAAATCTGAAGAGGATTTTCACTTTTGGGAAATGGTATTGCTTCTTTGCTTTATGCCATTTTGGCTTATCAAAGGTGTCTTTGGGGAAACCTTTTTTACCTTGTATCTTGTCACCTTGCTAAATTCATAAGTACTAGTGGCTTTTTGTGGTTGTTTTCTTAGAACATGTTTCTGTTGTGTGTGAATAAAGACACTTTACCTTTTTCCCCAATCTCTATGACTTTCATTTCATTTGTTAGTTTTCTGTTGTTTTGTTTAACTAGCTTCATACAGCGTAGAAGAGAAGTGGTGAGGGTAGACATCTTTACCTTATTCCTTAGGTGGAAAGCATTTAAATTTTCACCTTTAAGCATATGAAGACTGTGGGTTTTTCATGTATGTCCTTTCAGATTGAAAAAATTCCCTTCTATTTTTATCTTTCTGAGAGTTGGTGTCCTGAATGAGCATTAAATTTTATTAAACACTTTTTCTGCATTAATAGGATCATATGATTTTTCTCCTTTATTGTGTTAATACAGGGAATTATATTGGTTGATTTTTGAACATTATACCAACCTGGGATAAACCCATTAGATCATTTTTTGTTTTTTTATGGTATGTAGTAAACATGTAGTAATTATGGTATGTATAGTATTTTATTTGTGTGTATATATATATATTTTGGCATATATATTTTCTGGTTTGATATTCTCACAATTTTTTGAGAATTTTTCCTGCATATGTGTTTGGGTTTTGGTATGAATGTAATGCTGGCTTTGTATATGAATTAGAAAATATTCCTTCTTCTATTTTCTGGAAGAGTTTGTGCATGATTGATTGTTGAGATTTACTACTTAAATGTTTCTGAAACTTAATTGAAACTATTTGGGCCCAGAGTTTTTGTGGGATGGTGTTTAGCCACAAATTTAATTCCTTTAATATCTATATTAAATACTTTCTATTTATTCTTGAGTAGTTTTGGTAATTTATGTTGCAGGGAATTTGCTTATTTCATCTGAATTGTTGAATTTATTGTCATGAAGTTGTTTGAAATATTCTTGCTGTCCAACTCATTTTGATGTGTTATATTTTCATTATCCTTTTCAAAATATTTTCTAATTGACATTGTTTAACTTACAGATTACATATGAGTTTTTAAATTTACAGGTATTTGTGGATCTTACCAGGGTTTTTTTGTTTACTTTGAATTTAAATTTGTTATTGTCATAAAGCATACTCTAATTTTGTTTCTAAAAAACTATTGAGACTAGTTTTATGACCTAGCCTATGAACTATCTTGGTGAAAATTCCATGTGTATCTGAAATAAATGTATATTCAACTTTGTTAGGGATAGTGTTCTATAAATGATAATTTGGGGTTAATAAACTGATTAGTAATGTTACATCTTTTGTATTATTGATTTTCTGTTTTCCTCCTTTGCCAGATACTAAGAACAGTATTAAAATTTCTAACTGTAATTGTGGATTGTCTATTTCTCCTTCAGTTTTATCAGTTTCTGCCTTACATATTTTGAAGCCTTAATATGTGTATACATATTTAGGATTGATGTATTGACCATTATATTATTATGAGATGTTTCTCTTTATTGCTAGTAATATTCTTACTTAAGGTCACTTTATCTCATATTAATAAAGCCTCTTGAGTTTTATTTGTCTTTTTATGATATACATTTTTTACTTTCTTAGTTTTAATGTATCTATTTCTTTTATATTGAAAGTGTATCTCTTATAGACTGTATATTTGGGTCTTGCCATTTTATCTACGATTATCATTTTCTTCTCTTTTAATTAGAGGATTTTCTGCACTAATATGGTAGCCATATTTTTAAAATTTTAATTAAAATTCATTAAAGTTATATCAGGTTGAAGATTGATTTCTTCAGTTTCATTAGTCAAATTTTCACATACTCAGTTGTCACATGGCTAGGTTAGCGGCTATCGTATTGAACAGTTTAGGTATAGAAAAATTCTGTTGGGTAGCAGTAGTATAGATTATTTGTGTTTAATGTAATTACAGATCTTCCTTGACTTGCAATGTGATTATATCCTGATGAACCCATTGTTAAGTAGAAAATACCATAAGTCAAAAGTGCATTTAATACACCAAACAGATGGAACATCATAGCTTAGCCTCATCTTGCTTAAGTGTGCTCAGAACACTTACATTAGCCTACAGTTGGGCAAAACCATATAATAAGGTGTTGGATAGCTCATGTAATTTTTTGAATACTGTACTGAAAGTGAAAAACAGAATGGTTGTCAGTGTATTGGTTGTGTATCCTTTTGACTGTACGGCTAACTGGGAGCTGCATCACAGGAACAGTATTGTATTACATATTGCTAGCCTGTGAAAAGATCAAAATTAAAAATTTGAAGTTCATTTTCTACTAAATGCATATCACTTTCACACTATCATAAAGTCAAAATCATGAGCTGACCCATCGTAAATCAGGAGCTATCTGTATTGATACGGTTGAATTTAAATCTACCATCTTACTTTTGTGTTTATCTCATTTGTTCTTTATTCCTTTTTATGTCCTTTCCCTGACTTTTGAATTAATTGAGGTCTTCTTAGCATTCTCTTTATCTCCACTATAGACTTACTGGTGTACCTTTGTTTTTATGTGTATTTTAGCTTATCATGCCCTATCTTTGAATAATATTATATTATTTCACATTTATAATGTGAATGTCTTGTAATTTCTTATTGGATACTGAACCTTGTGAAAGTTGTACTATGCTGAATTTTGTTAACTTTCATTAAAAGTATTGAGTATTTTTGGCAGGGAGTTAGTCACTTGTGGATTAGCCTTTACAAGGCTGGTGCTTGAGTTTTTTTGATGTGCATTTGTAGTAGCCTTTACTCTAGAGTTGGTTTGACATTATTAGCATGGCATGCTAAAGCATTCTGTTCGTGAGTTCTCTGTTGATTATTCTGGATGTTCGAGGAGATTTCTGTATTTCCTCCCTGGGCCTCGGAGTTTTTCTGCTGAGCATGAACAAGTGGTTTACACTAGATGATTTCTAGGATCTTTCCTGCACTTAAGTTGTACAACTCCAAAGAATAGATCTTAGAGCTGGAAAGATCTAAATTTCTCTTTTGGTTCTCTTATTTGGATACCCTGTAGCCTGGCTAAGTTACTTAATTTTGGGAGCTTTTCTTACCTGTAAAACTAAAATGATTTTTTGTTTTAAGAAGTCAATGTGAGAGCCTTTGTGAAAGTACTCATTACAGTATTTAACATAGAAGAGTTGATTGATAAGCTTGTTGAAAACAAAACCCCAAACCTAGTATGATAACAGTACATAGGGGATGTTGACTAAGTACTTCTTAGTTGATTGGATAATCAGGTATTTAAACACAGTAACAAAGTGCTTTACCAGCCTTGCTGTTAATGAGATCTATGCATTTTTAGATGCAGGGAAATTTTATAAGTTGAAACTTAGAGGCAAAGTCATTTACTTGGGTGGTGTTTCCCCTGTTCCAGTTAAGATGTCAGTGTTACTTGATATTGGTAGGTACTACAGCTCTGTGCTGAGCGAGTTCTCTACCTAGCCCTTCTAATCTATGGTTTTTGCTTTCCTTTAGCTTGATAATAAACTATTAAGAACATAGAAATAATTTGGTTGGTGTTTTGTGGACTTATCCTAAAATAGTGAGTTTACATGTTCTTTCTTCAGATTTTCAATGTAGTTTTTTAAAGGGGATATATACTGTAAGAATTTTTACCATTTAACACCAGCACAGGGTTTTTCTCTGAAAGTATGCAAATTTGAGAACATCACTTATATTCTTAGAGCTCTGAAGATGAGTGGGTTGAGGCTGTTCCATCCCAAACTCTTGGCAAGGAAAAAGCCTGGGAAGTGAAAGATAAAAATTCAGAAAAAGAAGAAGACAACCAAGTTATTCAGGTAAGTCACCTAATTTTAAACAAGGAAGTGTGAACTAAGAATAGATGAATGTTAAATGAAAGGACTATAATTCCTTAGGGAGAAAAATTAGACTTTGACAACAGAATACTTCTATGAGTTATTTTAGCAGTAATGCTATTTGCTTAGCTTTTAGACTCGCCTTTTGTTGTGAGAAAGTGAGTGCTTATCTCTGTTCTGGTCCCTCAAAGGGTTTCCTATTTCTGGTTGTTGATACATAAGTGACACTTTCCCCTTAAGTACTTGAAGCTTTGCACTGTGACCTCTATCTGACCGTTCTACAATGAGTAGAGTTTAATCACAATTTTTCTTTTCACCTCATGCCATAATATTTTTAGCAGTACTTATAGTTGAATAGTTCAGAAATTTTGGGTTATAGTTCATATGCCTGAGGAAGAATGCAATTTATACACTGTTATCCACAGTGAAGAAAGGTGAAAAGAGACTAATGTTTGAGTGCCTGTTGTATATCAGGCGCTGGATTGGATGCCATAAATCTGTTTTCTTGTTTACTCCTTGAAACAGTCCTGAAAGGTAGGGATTTTATCCCATTTTATAGGAGAGAGACAAAGGCTTGGAGAAACTAAGAAACTTGCTTCAAGTTAGCCATAGGATTTGATCCAGGTTGGAGTCTCTACTGTTTTTACTATTTATTGTTAAATTCTAATCAATTTAGATTGAAATGACTTACTCTTTTTTAAACAGAGGGACGAGTGGATGACTTTTGACTTTATGTGTGTTAAAACTGTGTCATCATCATTACTTAAAGCTGAAAAGGAAACTAAAAAGAAAATAGAGCAAGAGAAAACCCAAGCCCTTGAACAGGTAAGAGAATGTTTAAGATGCTTTAACTTTCTAATTTACCTTTAATAAACCAATAATACATTTCCTTAAATGTTATTTTACTTGTGAAATACTATTTTATCTCTTTTGATATTTAATAAAATTAGTGGGAACAACTATGAAATGTGATAAAAGTTCTTTTAAAAATAAGTTTCCTGTAGAAGGTCAGCTTAATGCTGTATTAGATTTCCAGATCTAGGGCATATATAGTTGGGTGAATGTTGAGTTTGGTTTCAACAAAGCAAAACTGAAGGAACAAAATAGCAGCAGACTCACAGACTCCAAGAAGGGACTAGAGGTTACCAAAGGGGATGGGCTGGAGAGGGAGGCATAAGGGGATTGAGGGGCATTATAATCACTCACAATATAGGTAGGTCACGGAGAAGGCAGTATAGCACAGAGAAAACAAGTAGTGACTCCATTGCATCTTACTACGCTGATGGACAGTGGCTGCCATGTGGTGGGTGGGGACTTGATAATATGGGTCAATGGTGAAACCACGATGTTCATGTGAAACATTCATAAGATTGTTTATCAATGATACCTCAATTAAAAAATATGTACATATAAAAACATTAGATGATAGAAGATGTGATATGGCAAGAAATAATGCAGGGGAAGTGGAAAAAAAATACTGAGTTTTGTTTGTAGCTTTGGTTCATAAGGGTTTAGGGCTAAAACTATGCTGCCTATGTGGTCTGAGAAATCTTCAAGGTGAGAATTTATTTTAAAGTATTCCTGAGTTGGTAGGGCCTTAAAATACTTGGCAGGAGTAACCACCAACCCTTTGTAGAGGATCACTGTCAATATAGGCACCACAGGTTTCCCAGAAACAAGTTCTATGGAATATAAGTTCATAATTTAATATAGTATTCATGAAAATACAAAAGAAGTCCATATATGAGAGTCTTCTGAAACAATAAACAGCAGAATTGGACCCACAAAACGTGTATCTGTTGGAATATTTAATAGCTTTTTACAGTAACAATAGATTAGCTCTTTGGTCTGCCATCCACAGTGGAACCACTTCTAAGATGCAGAGTTTCATGGAAGCCCTTACAGGGAAGACCATTACTTTTGAGATTGAACCTTTAGATACAATAGAAAATGTAAAGGCCAAGATCCAGCATAAGGAAGGAATTTCTCCTAATCAGCAAAGACTAATCTTTCCTGTCCAGCAGCTGCAAGATGGATGTACTTCATCTGACTGCAACATTCAGTAGGAGTCCACTCTTCATCTTGTGTTGAGACTTTGTGCTAAGAAAGAATAAGCATAAGAGAAAGAAAGTTAAGCTGGCTGTTGTGAAATCCTGTAAGGTGGATGAGAATAGCAAACAGTCACCTTCGCCGAGGGCACCCTTCAGATGAATGTGGTGCTGGAGTTTTTATGGCCAGCCCCTTTGACAGACGATATGACGTGAACTAACAACAACAACAAAACAAAACAACAGGTATAGAGAAAAAGATCATTCAGAATTCAGATTTGAAAATGAGCCAACAGGAACTTCTGGGAATTAAAAAAATGTTACAATTAAAATTAGAAACTCAGTAGATGGTTAAACAAAGATTGAATAAAGCTAAAGAGAGATTTAGTCAACAAGAAGATAGTTTTTAAGAATTTACTGTGAATGCAGCACAGAGGGACAAATATATGAAAAATATAGAGTGATCACAATGTTTTTTATCTTTTTTACTTTTTTACCCAGTTTAATTTTAATTCTGAAAATGTAGGTGTGCTCTGATGGACAGTGACTGTGATGGGGTATGGGGAGCCCTTGATAATCACTAAGTTCTGTAAAATATCTTGTTTTTTTCCCAGTTGAGAGTAAATTAGGGCTGGAACCATAGTAATATCTGGCCTTAAGTGGTTCTCAGTTCCAGGGGCTGTCTGTCCTTAGTTCATTATGCATGCTAAGTCAGCACTAGTACAGACGAGATAAATGAAGCACAGGGAAGTGAAGTAAGACCTACAACTAATAAGTGGCATTCAGACTAGAGCAGTAGCAGCAGGAATAAAAAAGATGATGCAGATGCAAAAGATGGACCTGCATGAGCAAACGAGCTGCTGCTGATCAGTAGATGCTGACGAATTGAATCAGACAAGTTTATGTAAGCATTTGTAAGAAAAGATTGTTAATTGGAAAGCCTATAGTTCAAAACTAGAAAGTTTGTAAGATAAACAAGAAAAAAATTATTGTAGTTTCTTAGGAAGGTGAAGGTTTTATATAATAGTATTTCTAAGAATATTGATCACTGCTTCAATCTGTTAAAGATATTCAAGAGTTTACTATGTTCTGTTGTTTGACATGAAGAACAGGCCTGAATATGAGCAAAACTAAGACCTCAAGCCAGGGTTACTTTAACACGCCAGACCATCAGTGTGCACCAGCAGCAGAGTGTGATTTCAGGAGGCAGGCTCGCTTTCTTGCTCCTGTGTCTGCTGGTTGTCCCCCTGTAGCTAGGTGTACTTGCCTTTCCTGTTTCAGTACAATGAATCCCAACTCCATCAGGACTTGAAAATTTTTGTCATGCTAATATGTGGGTGAGAAATGGTATTTTGTTGTTTTATATGCATTTGTTTGATTACTGTGAGAAATCTTTCCATGTTTTGGGCATTTGGATTTTTGCTAGTATGAATTGCTTGTTTATGTTTTTTGCTTGTTTTTCTTCTGGGGTTGTCTTTTTCTTACTGATTTGGAGAACTTCAGTTCCTTTTCTTTTATATATTTTCAGATAGACAAATGTCACAATTTGTCTGACATCTTGTCAGTTGTCCTCCTCAGCATGTCCTCCTCAGCATGTAATTCCAGCCTTTTTATCCTTTTGAGTATTTGATATGTATCTTTGCATGTCTAGAGAAGCCCACTGGGAGAAACTCCTTGACTTCAGAGATTTTATAGTAAGTGACAAGGGAGGTGTTAGTCTTCCTTGGTACAGACTACTCTAAGAAATAAAAATCAAATCTAAAGGTTAACTTAAATTTTGTCCTTTGAGATTCTGTACTTTTTTGTCAGCTCATGGATACATTTTAAACTTAAAAAAAAATTTATCCACCGTTTTTGTTTTCAGTTGTATGGTTGGTTCATATTACTAGAAACTAACATTTAACTCTTTCCATTCTTCTCCATCTAATTGCCATTATTACTTCTAGTAACTGCATTATTAGTTCTAAGAATAATTTTCTGATTTCCTAAGGTCAAGTTAGGTTCTCCCAGTATGTGGTTCTCTAGCACATTTTACCATCATAGCCCCTATGTATGTTGGGTTTGCTTAATTATCTGACCATAATTTCTTTGATGTCAAGGACTATGCCTGGCTTATTCATTACAGCCCCGCGCCCGGCATGCTCTAGTGCTTTGAACGCAGGAGGCACTTGAATTTTGACTAGGCTACCATCATCTTTTTTCTGATTAATACCACAGTCTTCTGACTGGATTCCTGCCCCTAATTTAGCTCTTCAGTCTCTCTTCCACTCTGAAACCAGTTTTCTTTTTGCATCATACAAAGTTACCACTTTTATCACTCACCATTGCGCCAGCGTAAAACCCCAACAGCAGTTTTAAATGGCTGTGTGGCCTAGTCCCTGCTAATTCTACAACCTAATCTCTCACCACTACTCATTCATGCTTCTGAGTTTTAGACAATCTGAATTACTTAAAGTTCATGCTTCTAAGTTTTAGACAATTTGAATTACTCTAAGTTCCCTGAAATACAGTGTTTCCTTTTTCCTCTAGAGTTTTATAAACATGCTGTTACTCTTTCTACCTGGAGCATTTCTATGCTTTCTTCTCCCACAAAGAAAATTTGGCTAATTCCTATTCATACTTAGATCCAAGACTGCACATATTACTTCCTTTAGGAAGTCTGATCATTCAGTGTGAGAGTGGTTTGAATTGTGTGCAGCATTAGCATTTTGTACAACTCTATCTTCAAAGCACGTGTCAGTTACTTATTTTCTGTATTCCTCATTATCTTATAAACTAGCAAGGGCTGAGTTGGGTATATTGACTATTATATTTTCTGCATCTAGTATAGTTCTGATTCATAGTAGGCATGCAATGAAAACTTTGGGTAAATGTTAATTTAAACATTATTTCCTGCCAGTTGTAAAAGCATGTTAAGAGTGTTTTAAATATTTGTCCAAGGTTACAATTGTTAACTGAGTCTCAGATACATTATTTATTTATATATTTTGTGGTGGGATTATTTTTTTAATTATAACCTCTGAAATGTTTTGTTCCAGTCCAGACTCCTAGAAAGAGAATTGAATCCATACTGGAAGGATGGTGGGACAGGTCTCCCACCAGAAGACTGTAATATGGCATCAGTTACTAAAGGTATCTCAATATTTTGGTAACCACCTAGATTACTTATAACTTGATACACCTAGCGGAATGACTTGAGTTTATTGGTTGATTGGCAAGATGTATTATGAATTCTAAAAGTTTGTAATAATCCAAATCAATTTTGAGATGTGTTAAATCTAAGTTTTATCTTTGGTTATTTAAATATTTTTGTTTGATGTAACAATTCTAATCAAGTCTAGAACTATTTGTTTCTTTTCTATATTTGCAAAACAACTGTAAGCTCATTGATTACCTCATGAAATTTGTTGTTTCAAATTATGAGCATCTATGGATTATTACTAAAGGTTCAGTTTATGTATGACAAAGCACTGATAATTGCAGTGTTTTGAGGCCTATTTAAGTTTTTAATCCATGGAAAGATTAATTATATATTTCAGAGCAAATTGATTAAAATATAATTTTATACTCATTTTCTTATTGGAGTTTCTATTTTGGATGGATTAATAGAAAGTATGATTCTGTGAGGATATAATAAAATGCTTTGGTTTATGATATTCTGTAACAAAATCTATAAAAATATTGAGTCTGAAATTTATTGAAAGTAATGTATAAACATTAAAGATGTTATTTCTTATCTTTAGAAATTCCTACTTGACCAGCATTCAAAAAATTTGTGTACATAAATCTGACCTCAGGATAGTGCTGTTATTTTCCAGCAGATGGAGACAAAATATTTAACTGTCACATAATCATATGTGATACCATAACTTAAAAAATACTTATATGCCAGTTAAGTGTTGCACTGACAACTCAATGAGAAGTTTATTTAACTATATGAACCCAGTATACAGATAGTGGTATTGTTATCTTTTCATCTTAGTGATTTATCACAATATTTTTTTGCTTTTTGTTACATGCTTTATTTTGGCCATTCATTAAGATTCCTTTGTATTTTATGTAGAGATGTTCCTAGAGCCACCTTTCAGGTTCTTTTATAATTTTTCTTTAGCAGTTTTACCAATGTTATTAGGACTTCTAACATTTTCTTTGTTACCTTTCACCAGGGGTAGAAATGTCTCTACTGGGTTATATAATAAGACTATAGTCATACAAGGATCTCTTTGAAATACTTTTTTTTTAGAAACTTAAAAGCAAAAGTTAGGGGAACAGTAAGTTAGCTCAGTGAACCATTGCTGTGGGGTTGATTTTATGATCCAAGCTTTTACCACCACTCTGTGGACAGTCTAGAGGACAGTTTGTAAATTCATCTATGGAGTAAATTTAGAATTAACATATCCAATCTCTGGGTATTTGCAATCAGCAGGTTCTTAACTTCACTGTGTGGAGAAGACTAAAAGCTCTACCTTAGGTAGTATCTTTCAGCTGTTGGAACAGCAGAATCAAAGGCACAAGGAGCAAAACCTTACATAAAGCTTTTAAGAGAGCTTTTCTTCCTTCCCCTTCATATTATGCTTTCATCACTTCTCCTTCTTTTAATATATTTATATGGAAGGAGGAAAAATGACAGAAAGCTTGTGTCTGTCAGATGCTTAGATCCCAGAGTTGAAACTAAGTTTTAAAAAATGATCTGTAGGTTTTACTGCATGTGCAGATAGTAATAGTCTTTCTGTTTAGACCAATGTTAGGGCTGAAATGGTTAGTCACCTAAAAGTGTTAAATCTTTAGTATTAAGGCGATATTTGGAGGTGACACAGTGTTATAGTTAAAGACCCAGAGTTTGGAGTTAGGCTACTTGGGACTAGAATTTTGGCATTTCTGCTTACTAGTTTTGTGATTTGGGGCAGGTTTTCTAACCTCTGAGTACAAAATTACTCATCTGTAATAGGGACTTAAATGATTAAATAAGGAAACCTTTTAGCTCAGTATCTGGAATATAGTAAATAATAATGACAGTGATGTCAGATACTTAGGATTACATGTTTTGGGAAGATTATACCAACAGGTTTTTGGCAATGATTGAGGTGCCATACTTCGAAAAATTAATCAGTTAATCTTGATTTATTTCCTTAGAAAAAATAAGTGGAAAAGTAAGTAAACTGTTTTCAGTATCCATACAAAACTGTTTGTAATCATATTTTAGTAATGGGAATATTTGCATAGTTCTTAAGTTTATATAGCACATTTATGTATCAGCTTATTTTTGTAGCAGTTATGTGAAGATAGCAAAGTAGATGTTATTATCCTAATTTTGTTGCTCAAGAAGCTAAGGCGTAGAGTGGCCAGGTAATTTGCTGGTAGTGTAATACTTGAACCCTCGTCTTTTGAGTCCCAGGCCAGGATTAGTTGCTCTAGATTTCTTTATTAGAAGACTGTATTTGTTAGCAAATTCTTGCATAGAGAACTCTTTTGATATGTTCCTGTTCTTTTATAGATTTTTTCTCCTTCTCCTTTTTGGTTTTCTGTTTTAGAATCTTTTGAGTTGGAAGAAATTTCAAGGGTGGTTTAAATCAGCTTACATTACAGATGAAAAAGCAAAGGTCCAAAGAAGTCAAGTCGATGACTTGCTTAAGATCTTACAAGTAGGCAGTAGTGGTGCAAGATTAAGGTCTGGGTCTCCTGATTTGTTATTATTATTTTTCTTTTGAGAAGAATGGGGAATACAGCTCAGGTTCATTTGGTTGTATTTGTCTCTAACAATACAACTTTTTCTTATGATGGAAGCATGTGCTTTCAGTCTCTTAATTTTTGACTTATGAAAAACATTTTAAATACAGGTGTATATTAAATACTGCACATCAATGATAATTTACTATATATGTATCCTTATCTCAGCCTGGAGGACAGGGACAGTGTCTTATTCATGTTTTTACTTCCTACTGTGTTTAACAAATTTTCATATTCATGGTAAAAATTTGCTAAATATTTGTTGGATTAGATTTCATGATAGCTGGTGCTGCAAATTGGTATGTTTTCTGTTGACTTTTTAAATATTAAACTTGATAATTTCTCTTACTAAAAATATTTTATTATTTCCATCTCTATAAAATTAGTAAGACTGTTGAAATAGAATATAGAATCAACTAAAAGTGGCATTGTTATATAATTATTTCTAAAATTGTGGATTTTTCTCTTGACTGAAAATTTTTTTAGACTTCCTTGATAACTGTCAGTATAGAGGAATAAAAGTAGTCTTACAATTGGTGATTGTTCAGGAAATTCTAATTTTTGTTATTTTACAGTTTCACAGATAACTCTTTGGAATAAATTTAGTTATATAAATGGGCTGTTAATATAGTTACTAATTATAATGGATATCTCTTATCACTGTATTAATTGACACACCAGAAGTCAGTTTTACCTGGAATCATACACTGTGTCCACTTTCATTTCCTGCTTTTTTTGTCTACATTTTCAGATTCATCCATGAGTTGTGTGTAGTTGTACTCATTCATCCTCGTTGCTATATGGTATTCTGTTTTAGGAATATATCCTAATTTATGATATATATGCATTTTACTGATGAAGAACTGGATTGTTTTCTAGGCTGGGATTACTGCAGATTTTTGTGCTATGAAGATTCTTTTGGGGTTCATGTATGTGTGCATTTTTATTGGTTATAGAACTGGGGTACTCTAAAGAAGTTGTATTTGGATAAGGAAAATTGGGAACAGAGTTTGGCTTAAGTAATTGTTTAGATTTCTTTATGCATATCAAAAGTCATGTATAGAAGGTAATATAAGCAGCTTCAGAGTGTTTTTGAAGGCATTCAGATTGTCATAGTTGGTAATCACAACTAAGGTACAATAATTCGAATATACATTTTCAGTGGTATCATCTATAATTTCCTTATTTGTTCTTTATGCTATATCTGAGGTAGCTTTCCCCCATGTGTCTACCTTTATTCTTTATTTATTTCTGGGAGTCCCCTTTGTTTATAGAAATCCAAAGTATGTTTTTGTCCCCAGTTTGTGAAATTTTCCCTGACCTGCCATTTAGAAATGATTTTCCTTTCCCATTTTTAATTCTTTCTTTTTATAATTTTTATCACATATTATCCTTATATTATTTGTATCATTTTATCCTCATTCTCTTAGGTTGCAGTGTTTTTTGAGAACAGTTTTAAAATATTTTTTCCTTATAGTCCTATATTCTTATACCTTGCATATGTTGGCACTCAAATATATGTTGAATTTTAAGTGCACTTATGATTTCCATATAGTGAAAGAAAAAGATTCAATTTTATGCTTTGGAAGTCATTGTAAAAACAGTAAATATATATATTTTTGGAGGTTCAAATTCTCTTTTTAAAAAAATTTTTTTTATTGAAGTATAGTTGAAATACAGTACTATATTGGATTCAAGTATATATCATAGTGATCCAGTATATATAATTGTTAAATCCTCACCCCAAGTAGTGTAGTTACCATCTGTCAATACAGAAAGATGTTACAGAACTGTTGACTATATTCTCTATGCTGTACTTCCATTTCCATGAGTAATTTATATTATGATTGAGATTTTGTGTCTCCATCTCCTTCAACTATTTTATCCCCTACCCCATGGTAACCACCAGTCACTTTTCAGTGTCTATATAGTCTACTGCTCTTTTGCTCATTTTGATTGGAAGCAATATATATTAATTCTGTCAAAACCACATGAAAAGTTTAACTACGTTTAATATTGCAATTTAGTTTCAGTAATAGAAGATGGTGGATTAAGTTGGCTAAGGAAATCTTATCAAAGAATGAAGGAACAAGCTGAGAAACAAAATAGAAATTTTGAAGACATTGTGGCTGAAAGATATGGGGTGAGTATTGGTATTAAGGAAGTAAGTATTCTTTTCAGAGTTATAGGAGAAATTAAGTGACTAACTTTGTCAGTGTTTTGTGCCATGAAACACTTTTGATTTAAATTGATACTATATTTCCAGTCTATGTACTGTTGAAGCCGCTTTCTGCTTTTGTTATATAAACTTAACATAGCATAGTTTTATGGACATAATGAATATAAAATATAAGTATCTAAGTTTGAGTGTGTGTATGTTTAATGTAAAAGTAACATTTTTTCACTGTGAGAAAATCAGAATAATACAGCAAAGCCTCCATACTGCACCTCTGGAGATAACCACTGTCGAAATTTTGGCACACTTCAGAGTTTTTAGTTTGTTCCAGAGTTTTGGAATATAGTTTTTTTAAAAAGAGTGTATATATACAGTTTAAAAATGATAGAACCGTGCAGCAGTGCATGATATTTTAGAACCAGCTACCCCATTTACCAAAGTCTGGACAATCTATGTCAGTAGTTATTGATGTCCTTCTTTTTTTAAGTTCCAGAAAACAGCAGGTTTAGAAAGTAGTAAGATTTCAAAAATATAGGCAAGCAAAAAACAAAAATAGAAAAGTGAGAGAAAAATCATCCTTTGTTTTAAGAGAATCATGTTAAGAGAATTAACACGTTGACATTTTTCCAAAATTTTTTTTCTATTTACTATTTACTTTAAAATAGTTTTCATGAAAGTAGGCTTATAGATTACAACTTGCTTCTTTCACTCACTAATATAGACATCACTGGACACCAGTAAATATATACTTTTTAATGACCTCTTAATATTTTAATGTATATTTATATAGTTTTACACTTAGTTAAATATATGTAAAAGTCAATGGAGGAACATTTTGTTTTTATTTTTTCCCCATTACAAAGCACTTTGCTGAACACCTTGGTCCAGTGCATTTGCACACCTGAAATGAATATTTTCTTAAGATGAATTATAAAAATGAAATTACTATTTTAAAAGATATAGACACATAGAGTGAGATGTATTATTTCCAAGTTCCTCTACAGAAAGATTGACCAAATTTATACTTTTATTAAAAGGACTCTTATTGTATGGTTTTCAATAGTAAGATTGTCATTCTTTATAGCTTGTGTTACTGTGATAGGTAAATAGTTTTCTTGGTTTTATTTTTATTGATTTGTTTGCTAGTGTATTGGAATATTTTTTCTTTTTTTTTTTTGGCCATTTGTATTTCTAAGTGAATTGGTTGTTGGTAGTATTTACTCATTTTTCCTTTGGGGTATAAATTTTAAGACCTTTTAATATATCTGTTCAGATTTCTTCCTTTTTGTTTCATGTTTGTTTTTTACTTTGTTTATATTTGCTATGGATAAGTTTAGAGTATTTTTACCCAACAAAATTATTCATTAGGTTTCTCTTTTCACTACTTCATATTCTTGGTGTAATATGTTGACAGGCTTTCTCCACTCTTGCAAATCATAAAAATGTATATCTGTATTTGCTTTTAAGTACTTGATCAGTTTTATTTTTTATGCTTGTCTTTAATCTTTCAGGAATATATTTGTATATGGTGTAAGGTACATGTCTAACTTAGCATAAATCTTCAGATAGTTGTTAACAATATTTTGAGTGAACTATTCTTTTCCTACTAATTTGAAATGACACATTTATTGTATAATAAATTGTCTTTTAAAAATAGGTCTATTCTTTTACTCTCAAATCTATTTATTGGTTTTTCTGCTCTCTCCTGGAATTAGTATCATACTATGGTAATTATTATAGTTTTCATTCAGTAACTCATGCAGAGAGCAAATAATTAGTGAACATTTACTATCTGGCAGGGTAAGTCTTTTAGAAGATCATTAAAAAATTAGGTTATCATTCTTACATATTTTTTGTTGTTAAATGTAGAATCATTTTGTCAAGTTCAAGTTCAAGAGAAATAGTTTTCTAGAATCCACTAAAGACTCAACTCTTTGGAATGTTGATTTTCACTAAATTTAACTAAATGTACAGATAAATCAGGGGCAATTAATATCTTTATAATGTTGAGTCATTTAATCCTAAAATACTGGGTATTTCTATATTCATATTTTCATTTATGTTCTTAAGTAAATTTCTCTTTCATAATGCTCTTAAGTAAATAACATGCAAGTTATTTACATGTGTCCTTAAGTTGTTTCTAATTACTTTTTTCAATTGTATATTGAATCTTTTTTGCTTTATATTTTTAGACTTGCTATTGGTTCTGGCCTGCAGTTTTCTAAATTCCTGTCACTAAATCTAATTTTAAAAAATTGGTTTATCCGATAAGATAGTTATGTGCAAATGATGATTACTTTTGCTTTTTCCCCTCAGTATTACAATACTTAAAACTTTGCCTTGAAATACAGTTTCAGAACTTTAATAAAATCTCTGAAAGCTAGTTTTCTTGTTTTTCTGTATTTAAATAACTTCCTACATTTAAGGTAAAGGTTATCATCTTTAAAAAGTATCCTTTCATCCAAAGTTTAGGCAGAGGTATGTTTTTTTTTGTTCTTGTTTTTAAATTAGAAATAGGTTTTCTTATTTTTTTTTATTAAGGTATTGTTGATATACAATCTTATGCTCAGGTTTCACATGACCAACTTTGTGGTTACTACATTCCCCCCTATTATCAAGTCCCCACCACATACCCCATTACAGTCACTGTCCATAAGAATAGTAAGATGCTATAGAATCAATACTTGTCTTCTCTGTGTTATACTTCCTTCCCTGTGCCTCCCCATATTATGTATGCTAATCATAATCTCCCTTAATCCCCTATTCCCTCCCTTCCTGACCACCATTCCCAGTCCCTTTCCCTTTGGTAACCATTAGTCCATTCCTGGGTTTTGGGAGTCTGCTGTTTTGTTCCTTCAGTTTTTGCTTTGTTATACTCCACAGATGAGTGAAATCATTTGGTACTTGTCTTTCTCTGCTTGGCTTATTTCACTTAGCATAATACCCTCTAGCTCCATCCATATTGTTGCAAATGGCAGGATTTGTTTTCTTCTTATGGCTGAATAGTATTCCATTGTGTATATGTACCACATCTTTATCCATTCATCTACTGATGGACACTTGGGTTGTTTCCATTTCTTGGCTATTGTAAATAGTGCTGCAATAAACATAGTGGTGCATATGTCTTTTTAAATCTGTGATCCTGTTTTCTTAGGGTAAATTCATAGTGAAATTGCTGTGTCAAACGGTATTTCTATTTTTAGTTTTTTGAGGAACCTCCATATTGCTTTCCACAGTGGTTGAACTAATATGCATTCCCACCAACAGTGTAGGAGGGTTCCCCTATCTCCAGATCCTCACCAGCATTTGTTGTTCTTGTCTTTTGGATGTTCGCCATCCTAACTGGTGTGAGGCAATATCTCATTCTGGTTTTAATTTGCATTTCTCTGATGATTGGTGACGTGAAGCATCTTTTCATGTGTCTGTTGGCCATCTGAATTTCTTCTTTGGAGAAGTGTCTGTTCAGATCCTCTGACCATTTTTTAATTGGGTTATTTGCTTTTTGGGTGTTGAGGCATGAGAGCTCTTTATATATTTTGGATATCAACCCCTTTTTGGATGCGACATTTATGAATATATTCTCCCATACTGTACAATGCCTTTTTGTTCTGCTGATGGTGTCTTTTGCTTACAGAAGCTTTTTAGCTTGATGTAGTCCCACTTGTTCATTTTTTCTTTTGTTTCCCTTGCCCGAAGAGATATGTTCAGGAAAAAGTTGCTCGTATTTATATTCAAGAGATTTTTGCCTATGGTTTCATGACTTACATTCAGGTGTTTGATCCATTTCCAGTTTATTTGTGTGTATGGAGTTAGACAGTTACCTGGTTTCATTCTCTTACATGTCGTTGTCCAGTTCTGCCAGCACCAGCTGTTGAAGAGTCTGTCATTTCCCCATTGTATATCCATGGCTCCTTTACCATATATTAATTGGCCACATATGTGTGGGTTTATATCTGGGCTGTCTATTCTATTCTATTGATCTATGGCTCTGTTCTTGTGCCAGTACCAAATTGTCTTGATGACTGTGGCTTTTTAGTAGAGCTTGAAGTTGGGGAGTGTAATCTCCCCACTTTATTCTTCATTCTCAGGATTGCTTTGGCTATTAGGGGTGTTTTGTGGTTCCATATGATTTTTAGAAGAGTTTGTTCTAGTTTGTTGAAGAAGGCCATTGGTATTGTATAGAGATTGCTTTGAATCTGTAGATTGCTTTAGGCAGGATGGCCATTTTGACAAATTTAAATATTCTTTTACCCAAGTGTATTGGATGTATTTCCATTTGTTAGTGTCCTCTTTAATTTCTCTGTAAAGTGTCTTGTAGTTTTCAGAATATAGGTCTTTCACTTCCTTGGCTTTTTATTCTTTTTTATGCAATTGTGAATGGAATTGTTCTCCTGATTTCTCTTTCCACTACTTCATCATTAGTGTATAGGAATGCAACAGATTTCTGTGTATTAATTTTGTATCCTGCAACTTTGTTGAATTCATATATTAGATCTAGTACCTTTGGAGTGGATTCTTTAGGGTTTTTTATGTACAGTATCATGTTATCTGCAAAGTGACAGTTTAACTTCTTCCTTACCATTCTGGATGACCTTTATTTCTTTGTGTTGTCTGATTGCTGTAGCTAGGACCTCCAGCATTATGTTGAATAAAAGTGTGGAGAGTGGACATCCTTGTCTTTTTCTCGATCTTAGAGGAAAAGCGTTCAGCTTCTCACTGTTAAGTATAATGTTGGCTGTAGGTTTGTCATATATGGCCTTTATTATGTTGAGGTACTTGCCCTCTATACACATTTGTTGAGAGTTTTTATCATGAATGGGTGTTGAATTTTGTCAAATGGTTTTTCAGCATCTATGGAGATGATAATGTGATTTTTGTTCTTTTTATTGATGTAGTGGATGATGTTGATGGATATTCAAATGTTGTACCATCCTTGCATCCCTGGGATGAAACCCACTTGATAATGA